CGCTCCTGCCCGCGGACGCGCGGCCCGACAGCGCCATCATCAACTACTACGACGCCGGCGACTGCATCCCGCCGCACACGGACCACGCGTCCTACGCGCGGCCCATCTCGACGCTCTCGCTGCTAGGGGAGGAGCCCATGCTCGTGGGCTCCGCGTTCCGCTGCGTCCGCGAGTCCACCTGGGAGCCCGTTGTCGGCCTCGCCGTGCCCTGCCCGCGGCGGTCGCTCCTCGTCCTCGGCGGCAACGCCGGCACCGTCGCGAAGCACTGCATCTCCGCGTGCTCGGGCCCGCGCGTCTCCGTGACCCTCCGCAAGCAGCCGCCGCCGGACTGGCGGCCCGACGCCGCGGACCTCGCCCGCGGGCGGCCGGCCGGCGCCGCGGAGCCGGCGAAGAAGAAGGCCCTCTCGGGCTCCGCGAAGCGGCGCAAGAAGGAGGCCAAGCGGCGCGCCGCGAGCGGCGGCTAAACATCGTCCTGTTTTTTTTGCGGCGCACTCGTCCGTGCGTCGTTGTTTCGTAGCGTGCTCCCCCAGTAGCAGCGACGGCTTACGCCCCCCCGTCGTCGTCCCGCGGCCGCTTCTTGTGCGCGTCCGAGGACGTGGGCACCTTCTGGCGCCGCTTGCCGGCGTTCGCGTCCGCGGGCCGCGCGAAGGCGTCGTCGACGATGATCTCGACGACGGGCTCCGCCGAGCCCGGCGGCGGCGCGTAGGCGATGCACAGGTGCTTGCGCACGTCGGACGAGAGCCGCGCGTTCGCCTTGCAGCGCCGCCACGGCACGATCTCGTCGCGCTCCGCGACGACGACGCAGTACTCGGCGTGGAAGACGTCGGGCGACCGGCGGTAGAGCACGAAGTCCGCGCCGAACTGGAGGCCGTCCTTGACGATCCACTTCTTGTCGCGGAAGTGCGCGTAGACGGCGAGCGTGGCGTCGAAGCGGACGTCGCCGAGGGGCGCCCACGCGCCGCAGCGGCGCCGGATCTCCGCGGTGTCCAGCGCGTCGCCGTCGCTCGTCTCGCGGACGATCAGGCGGTCCCGGGCGGCGAGGTAGCACATCTCGTGGAGGCCGAGGCGCACCTCCGTGCCGAATTTCGGCGTCTCCGCCTCGCCGGGCGCGCGGTCCGCGGGCGTGCCCGTGACCGCGCGCACCTGGCCGAAGCACCGGTGCGCGCCCTGGAGCGTCAGCTGGTGGGCGCGCTTCCGCACGACGGCCGTCGCGCCGCCGGCGACGAGCACGGCGACGGGCGTCTCGGGGATCGGCGCCGGGCCGCGGCAGGACCGCCGCGGCCGCTTCAGCGGTCGCGGTGTGGGTGGCGCCTTTGGTTGTCTCTTCTTCGACGGTTCCGGCGGCGCGGGCGCCGCGGGACCGAGCGTCGGCGGCGGCTTGGACGTCGAGGCGCCCATCGCTTGTTGGCGTTCGAAGCCGATGATGACGAGATGATGACGAGGGAGAGCGTGCTCGAGCCGCCGACCACCTCGTCCGCCAACGCCGTCGCCGACGCCTGCGCGACGCTGCTGGGCGCACAAACAATGCTGCGCGCAGTGCTGCTACTCTGCTGCACCTCTCTTGCATGCTCATTCGTCGTTCCAGCGCGACCGCTGCTCGCACGAGCGCGGATTGCCACGAAACCGCAGCCGAGCATCGCTGCAAAACCAACCACCACCCTCTCCGCCGAGGTGCGAACCAACGAACTCACCAACACCCGCGCCGTGACGCTCGCGCTGGCGTGCGTCGTCGCCGCGGTCGTCGCGCTCGACCGCGTCGTCATGTCCGTGGCGATTCTGCCGATGGCCGAGGTCTACGGCTTCGACGAGTCGACCAAGGGCCTGGTCGCCGCGTCGTTCTCGGCGGGCTACGGGGTGGGCATCCTGCCGGCGGGCGCGCTGGTCGCCGCGCGGCCGCCGGCGCTCGTGCTCGGCGCCGGGCTGCTCGCGTGGTCCGCCGCGCAGGCGGCGACGCCGGCGGCCGCGGCGCTGGGGCTGGCGCCGCTCTTCCTCGCGCGGGCGTGCATGGGCGCCGGCGAGGCCGCGGCGATCCCGAGCCTGCAGGTCGTCGCGGCGCAGAACGTCGGCGAGGCCGAGCGGTCGCGCTTCTGGGGAGTTCTGACGGCGTGCCTCTCGCTCGGCACGATCGCCGCCTACGCGCTGACGCCGCCGCTGATCGCGCGCTTCGGCTGGGAGGCCGCGTTCTACGCCTACGGTGGGTTGGGCGTGCTGGTCGCGCTGGCCTGGGCCGCGGCGACGGCGTCGGACGACGACGTCGGCGCCGCCGCGGAACCCGTGGACTGGGCGCAGCTCCGCGCGTCGCGGCCCGTGTGGGCGTTGGCCTGCGCCCATTCCGCGTCGAACTTCCTGCTGTACTTCGCGCTGGCCTGGCTGCCGACGTTTTTTTCATACACCTTCGGCGCGTCGGCGACGGCGTCGGCGACGGCGTCGCTCGCGCCGTTCGCGGCGGGCGCCGCGTCCTGCGTCGTCGCCGGCGCGACCGCCGACGCGCTCGCGCCGCGGATCGGCCTCACGCGCACGCGCAAGCTCGTCCAGGGCGTCGCGTTCCTCGGGCCCGCGCTGGCGCTCACTGCGCTCGCCGTGCTCGAGGAGACGGGCGGCCTCACGGAGGGCGTCGCCGAGGGCCTCTTCGTCCTCACGTTCGCCTGCCAGGCCGCGTCGGGGTCGGGCTTCGGCGTCGGCGCGCAGGACATCGCGAAGCGGCAGGCGAGCGCGATCTACGGCCTCTCGACGCTGCCGGCCGTCGCCGCGGGCGCCGCGTCCCAGTACGCGACGGGCGTGATCCTCGACGCGACGCACAACGACTTCTCGCCTGTCTTCGCGCTCGCGGCGACGACGCAGCTCCTCGGCCTCGCGGCCTTCTGGCGCTGGTTCGAGGCCGAGCGCGTCTTCGACTAGTAATCGGTTCGTTCGATTCGTGGAGGGTCCCGGGAACTTAGGACGGGGGGAACTTGCCGAGGATCGCGACGGTGCGCTTCGCGGCCTCGGCCATCTCGGGGAGGGGCTTGGCGTCGCGGCGGCGGAGGAGGAGCGCGGCGGCGACGGCGGCGGCGGGCGCCGCGGCGAGGAGGAGCTTGGGCCAGCGCGCCGCGCGCGGCGGCGGCGGCGCGGCCTCGAGCGCGGCCGCCGCGGCGTCCGCGGCCGCGAGCGACGAGGCCTCGAGGCGGCGGATGACGCCCCGCTGGTCGTCCGCGAGCGCCTGGAGCCGGCCGACGTCCTCGGCGTACTTGGCCTCGAGCGCGACGTTCGCCTCGTCGAGCTGCGTGTTGATGTCCCAGAGCTCGGCCTCGCGCTTCGCGTTGTTCGACACGCAGAGCGCCGCGGCCTCGGACGCGTCCGCGAGCTGGGCCTTGAGCGCCGCGAGCTCGCGCGCGAAGCCCGCGGCCTCCTTGCGGACCTCGGCGACCTCGGCGGCGTGCGCGGCCTTGGACTTGAGGAGCGCGTCCTCGGCGATCATGCGCTGCGTCTCGACGATGCCGACGCGCTCGTCGCGGAAGCGCCGCGCGGCCGCGCAGGCCTCGGCGTCCGCGGCGTCGCGCGCGGCGCGCTCCGCCGTCAGGGCCGCGCGCGCGCCGTTGCGCTCCGATTTCGCCTTGGCGATGTCCGCGCGCAGCGCCCGCTTCTCGGGCGAGATCGCGCGCTCGCGCGCCTCCCAGGCCTCCTCGAGCGTGACGACGCGCTCCTGCGCGACGCCGAGGCGCCGCTCGTGCGCGAGCCGCAGGTCCTCGATGAGCGCGTAGGTCCGGCCCGCGCGGTCGCGCGCGGCCGCGGTCTCCTGCTTCGCGCCCTCGAGCTCGACGCGGAGCCGCGCCTGCTCGTCGCGCCACGCCGCCGCCTTGGACCGCGGGGCGCCCTTCTTCGGCGGGCTCTTCGCCGACACCTCGCTCACAGCGCGCCGCTTCACGGCGTCGCGCGACGGGCCGGCCGTGCGGCCGTTCTTCTCGGCCAGCGGCGAACGCATGTTCGTGGCGGTGACGATGTGTGTGGAGGCGGAGGTGAGTGTAGCGTTGACGACGTTCGTCGGCGCGGAAGCGATGTGTGTGGCGGCGGAGGTGAGTGTAGCGTTGACGACGTTCGTCGGCGCGGAAGTGAGTGGCGACGCGCGAATGGCGGGGCTCGAAGAGACGCTGATGCTGCTGAGCACCGTCTGGCGCGCGTCGAAAGTAGCCGCAAACGATGAGACCATAAGCTCGCGCCGGAAAGACAAACGATTTTTCTGCAAGTTGAACCAAAGTTGAAATTGAGAGATCACTTATCCAGCGCCGCGTCGACGGCGTCCGGCAGCTCCGCGATCGTCAGGATGCGCGCGTCCACGGCCGCGGCCGGGTCGACGGCGCCCATGACCGCCGCGCGCGCCGCGCGGTCGTCGGCGGAGAGCGTCGAGTACGCGTTCTGCGCGTGCGACGGCGGCGACGCGTCGAGCCAGACCGTCCGCGCGCCGACGCGCTTCGCCGCGTCGCAGTCGTTGAGCAGGCAGTCGCCGACGTGGATCCACGCATCATCCGCGTTGGACACGCCCGCCCGCTCGAGCGCGGCCTCGTAGATGACGGGGCTCGGTTTCCGGTTCGGATGGACGCCCGCCGCCTCGCCGCTCACCGTGAACGCGAAGAAGGGTTTCAGCGAGGGCATGCGCGCGGGGTCGCCCCGGCCGTTCGTCACCGCGGCGACGACGGCGGCCGGGTGCCGCCGCGTCACCTCTCGCAGCGCGTCCGCGCTGCCGTCGAAGAGCAGCGCCTCCGCCGCGCGGTGGCGCTCGTCCAACCACACGTCGAAGAGCCGCGGCGCGAGTTTCACGTCCGCGCCCGCCTCCGCCAGCAGCGCGGCGCAGGCCTCGGTCCGCGCCTCGGTGTAGCTCATCGCGGGGCCGGCCGCGCGGCGCAGCCGCTTCATCGCGTCCTGATGGCCGGCGCCGTCCGCGCCCTCGCGCGCGAGCGCCGCGCGCATGGCTTCGTTCGCGCGCGCGACGACGGCGCCCGTCGGCCAGAACGTGTCGTCGAGGTCGAAGGTCAGCAGCCGCAAGCGCCGCGGCGGCGCGAGCGCGCCGGCGAAGACCGGCGCCAGCGCGGCGGCGACCATCGATGCGCGGCGGCGCTGCGCAGGCATCGGTGCGCGGATGCCCCGGTGCGAGCTCGCGCAAAAGTTCAATGTACTGGTTGCACGGCACGATCGCACCACTGGCCTTTTCTCGATGTTCTCGATTTGAGCTGTGTCGCCTCGACAACTGCGTTCATCACGTCGGGTTGCAGCGCGGTGATGGCGTCTGGCAGCCTGCTCGCGTTGCTCCTCGCCGCCGTCGCGATCGCCGACGAGGGCGCGGGCGGCGCGCGCGGCCACAGCATCGAGGTCCAAGAAGAAACAACCTTTGGTATCCTCATCGACGCCGGCTCGACGGGCTCGCGCATGCACATCTACGAGTGGTCGAGCCGCACCTTCAGCGAGATCCCGCCGCCGCTAAGCCTGCCGCTCACGTCGGAGCGCTGGAGCGAGCGCATCCGGCCGGGCCTCTCGGCGTTCGGCGCCGAGCCGTCGAAGGCCGCGCGGACGCTCGCGCCGCTCCTCGCCAAGGCCAAGGAGGAGCTCGCGGGCTACGAGGACTACTGGTCCGAGTACCCCATCTACGTCAAGGCGACGGCGGGCATGCGCGAGCTGCCGGAGCAGCAGCGCGACGCGATCATCGCGGCCGTGCGCGCGTACCTCGCGGACGACGCATCTTGCCCGTTCCGCTCAGGGAACGAAAAGGGTGATTCAACGTCGCTTCAACGTGAGTGTTCCGCGCGCGCGCGTTTCGGAAACAGCACCCACGCTTCGAGAGCGCTCCGAGAGATGATCGCTCGTCCAAAAATCAGCCGAAACGAGCGGAAAACGACCGAGATAGGAGCCTGAAGTTGGGAATTTCGCACCCTTTTCCTGCCCAGGTTCCGCTTCGAGAACGACGAGCAGGCGCGCGTCATCGCGGGCGAGGAGGAGGCGGCCTACGCCTGGGTCGCCGTCAACTTCGTCGACGGCGCGCTGCTCGACGCGACGGCGGGGCCCTTTGGGACCGCGACGCCGTCGCGCGCGCGCGGGTCTTTGGAAATGGGCGGCTCGTCGTCGCAGATCTCGTTCTACAAGCCCCAGCAGGACATCCTCGCGGGCCTCTTCAAGCTCCAGCTCGGCACGCGCGCGCACATCAACCTCTACGGCCACAGCTTCCTCCACTACGGCCGCGTGAGTTCCCGGCGGCTCCACTGGTCGCACCTCGCCGCGAAGCACGGCTGCTGGGGCGAGTCCGACGGCCGCTACCGCGACCCGAAACCCTGCGTCGTCGCGGACCCCTGCGTGCCCGCGGGCGAGGCCGTGAGCGACTGGGCGCAGACGTCGGTCACGGGCGTCTTCGGCCTCTCGCCCCCTTTGACGCACGGGAACACGAACGGCAACGTCACGGTCACGGGCACGAGGCGCACCCGCGAGTCCTACGCGGCCTGCAGGAAGCAGGTGCGCGACCACCTCTTCGACCCGTCCTTCAACAGATGGTGCGAGTACTCGCACAACGGCCAGTGCGCGTACATTGGGGTCTACCAGCCGCGGCTGCCCGAGGGCCCGGACTACGGCAACTTCGTGCTCCTGGGCAACTACGTGAAGCTCTTCTCCATGCTCAAGCTGCCGCGGACGACGAACCTGCGGGAGTTCGCGGCGCGGGCCGACGCGGTCTGCGGCGGCGAGGACGAGCCCCTGCCCGAGGGCAAGCTCTCGAAGGACGAGTTCTGCTTCGTCGCGGCCTTCGCCTACGAGTCGCTCACGACGGGCCACGGCTTCGACGGCACGCGCAACTACACCTACGTCGACAGCACGCAGTACAACGGCGCGCACGTCAACGTCGGCTGGCCGCTCGGCGCCATGCTCTACGAGATCAACGCGCTGCCCTGGACCTACGTCGCGCCGCGCCGGAAGGCGCCCGACGACGACGACGGCGGCGACGACGCGGCGCCGGTGTCGCGGGAGCAGGTCGACGTGCCGCCGGGCAAGCGCAAGGTCTTCTTCCTGCGGGAGCGCAAGGCGTCGCCGGAGCCGCGGCGGACGCCCGCCGGCGCGGTCGCGGTCGCGGCGGCGTTGATCGCCGTCGCCGCGGTCCTCCTCGCCGTCGAGCGGCGCCACTCCTTCGCGACGGGCGGCCGCGACGCCTGGGCCGACCCGGAGGACGCGCGGCGCCTCGACGACGGCCGCGACGCCAACTGCTGCGACGCGTGGACCATCGCGCCGCCGGCCGCCGCGCCGTCGCCGTCGGTCCACTCGCCGAGGCACAGCCTCCGCTCGGGGAGTTTACCCTAAGACCTACGCGTCCCAGGCGAGCGACGCCTGGAAGACGCGCGCGGACCCGGACGACAGGACCACCTCCGTCGTCGTCGGGCTCGTCGCCGTCGCCGCGACGTCGAGCGCGCCCGGCCGCGACGCGAGGAACTCGGCGTGCATGGACCGCGGGTCGTCGCCGCGCGCCGCCGCGCGTGACGCGGCGATACACAACGCGCCGCCGTGCGGCATGCCCATGGGGTTCGACAGCAGCGGGCCCGGCCGCAGCGTCGACCCGTCGAGCGGCACGGCGTCGTCGACGTGCGCCATGGCGCCGAGGTCCGCGGGCGCCGCGTCCTTTTTGCCGAGGCGCTCGACGTAGCTGAGAAACACGGGTCGTAGGGGCGGCGCCATGAGCGCGTCCCAGCCGCGGATGCCCGTCGGCAAAAACTTCGTGTGGCGGCCGCGCGCGAGCACGGCGCCGTCCGCGGCGCGCAGCGCGCAGTCGCAGAAGCCCAGGTTCCGGCCGAGGCGCACGGCCGTGGACGCGACGGTCACGGTGTCGCCCGCGCGCGGCAGCGCGGAGAGCCGCGTCGCGCCCAGCGAGATCGACACGCCCCAGCGGTGCGTCGCGTCGGCCGCGATGACGCCGAAGCTGCTCACCTCGTCGAAGAGCGCGAGCACGGCGCCGAGGTCGAGCGCGCCCCGCTCGGGAGTCGCGAGGCGCGCGGGCACGAAGTAGTCTCGGACGGCGCAGGACGCGCCGTCGAGCTCGACGCGCGCGTCTCTGAGCGACATGCGCAGCACCTCGCCGAAGCGGCCCTTGCCCTGCGCCTCGCCGACGCGCCGGATCGCTCGCAGGGCGCGGGCGCCGGACATTATTGTTGCAGGAGTTTGGGTCGCAGGAGCAGCCGCTCAGGGGCCTTGGTCGCAGGAGCAGTGCTCAAGGGGCTTTGGTCGCAGGGGCAGCCGCACGCCTCAGCGGTTGGAAAGCGCGAGCGGCCCGACTTCTCCGTGGTCTTGACGCAGCGGTGGTAACCTTAAAAGAGCTCGCAGCCGCGCATGCTTTGCGTCAACGAGGCGGCACTTGCAGTGCAATTCAATTCAGCGAGCTGTGGATGCTGCGGTAATCCTCGGATCCGATGGCGTCGTCCAAGATGGCGTCCTCCAAGTCCTTGCCCGCGGCGTGCCTGCGGGCCTGCTACGCCGTCACGCTCGGCCTCCTCATGTGCGTCGACGGCGTCGTCTGCAAGCTCGCGCTGATCACGCCGGACTGGCTCGTGGCCCGCGAGAAGCGCGAGGGTTTGGCGCTCGTCCTGTCGCACTACGCCTTCGCCGCGGCGCTGGCGCTGTCGCCGTGGATCCGCGTCGTCGCCGACGGCGACCTGGGCCCCGTCTGGGCCGACGTCGTCGGCCACATCCGCGACGAGGCCGACAAACGGCCGCTGTTCCTCGTCGGAAATCACACGTCGTTCCTCGACACGGTGCTCACGGTGGCCAAGGCGCCCATCGCGCTCATCTACCGCAGCCGGACCTACGTGAGCTCCCATTTGCTGTCCATGCCCGTCCTCGGCACGGTCATCAACGCCATGGGCCTCTTCACGGTGAACTTCCGCGCGAGGACGGCCGACGACTACTCCGTCGACAAGGAAGCCATGGCGAAGATGCAGCTCCGCGTCGACGCCCACATAAAAAAGGGCGGCGTGCTCTGCTTCTTCCCCGAGGGCTCCATGAACTCGGACCCGGACACGCTGCTCCCCTTCCGCTACGGGGGCATGAAGGTCGCTTTGGACAACGACGCGATCATCTACGAGTACGTCACGGTCGGCTGCCCGGCGGTCTGGGGCAAGAAGGAGGCCGTCGGCGGCTGGCCCGGGGCCGTCCACTACGGCCTCAAGCCCCTCGCGCCCGACGGCGCGCGCGCGCTCGTCGCGGCCCTCAAGGCCGCGGACGGCGACGCGTGGCGGGACAAGCCGGACCACGCGATCCTCGCGGAGCACCTCCAGGTCCGCATGCAGGCCTACTACGACGAGCTCAAGGCCAAGCGCGGGTAAGCTCGTTTTTTTACTCAGCGGGCCTGCAGGCCTACTACGACGAGCTCAAGGCCAAGCGCGGGTAAAAGCTCTTTTTTATGTTCGAAACCGCGCCTCGAAGGCCGCGAGGTTGGCGGGCGGGCCGCCCTTGATCGCGAAGATCACGTTGTGGAACGCGCCGCGGTGCTCGGCGGCGAGCGCGTCCGCGAAGGCCGCCGCGACGACCTCCGGGTCGTTCCGGAAGACGCCGCAGCCGAAGGCGCCCAAAATCACGTCGCGGTGGCCGCGCACCCGGGCGACCGTGAGCACGCGCGAGATTCGCGCTCTGAGGACCTCCTTGATCTCCGCGTCCGCGACGCCGTCGCGCCGCGCGACGCCGGCGTTCGGCGCCGCGGCCACCGCGAAGGAGCACCGCGGGAAGGGCTCCTCGAGGAGCTCGTCGCGCTCGTCCCGGAACAGGGGCACGTCGGGCGCGTAGATGATCGCGTCCGTGTAGAGGCCCTTCGTCTTGTGGCGGATGTAGAACGCGCGGCATTGGGAAGCCGTCAGCGCCGCGTGGAGCGCCGAGCCGCGGGCCACGCACTCCTCCTGGGCCTCGGCGCCCTTCAGGAAGCCGCCGCCCGCGTGCTTCGCCGACGCGAAGACGAGCGCGCAGGCGTCGGGGAAGTCGCGGCAGGCGACGAGCGTCGACGCCGCGACGACGGAGAACGCCGTCGCGACGGGCGCCGTCGCCACGGGCCGCGCGACGGCGGCGCCGGCCGCGAAGAGCTCCGCGCGCCGCGCCGCGTCCGCGCCGTGGCCGCCGTCGACGATGAGGCGCAGCGTCTCGGCGGCGCGGGCCGCGCGGGCGGCGCGCGCCGTCGCGCGCGTCTCGATGCCCTCGTTGGTCCGCCGTGTCGCGGTTGTGCGCGGCGCGGCGGGTGTCTCGGTGCTCTCGTTGGTCCGCTGTGTCGCTGTTGTGCGCGTCTCGGTGCTCTCGTCGTTGGTTCTCTGTGTTGCTGCGTCGCCGCCATGTTCTAGGTTGCTCGAAGCAGCCTCTGGTCCTCTGGTTTGGGACGCTGTCGAGGCTGCCCATGGCGCCGGACGAGAACAATCTGCGAAGCACCCGAAAACGCATGGTGCAACTTGAAGTTCAACTCAGGACCGACGGACCCGTCGCAGACGTATGCGCCCCGAGTCTTTCGTCTCGCTTCAGCATAGAACTACGCGCGATCGATAGTTCTTACGTCTCTCCGGGCGGCGCCGTTCGAACGCTCGCGGCGCCGAACGCTCGCGGCGCCAACGCTCGCGCGCGCGGGAACCCGGATGCGGGTGACGGCGGGGACCTGCGCGCCCCGTTCTCCGGCCGCCTAGAGGTACTCGCAGTGGTAGGCCGCGTTAGAGGTACTCGCACAGGTAGGCCGCGTGCTCGTCGCAGGTGACCTGGAAGCCCGCGTTCGCCGCGACCTCGAAGTACGTGCCCGCGGGATAAACGACGACGGTCGCGTCCGGGAAGCAACCGGGGTCCTCGACCTGGACCTTCAGCGAGCCAGACGTAACCGTCATGCGCTCGGCGCAGGCCGTGCCGAAACGGTACGTGCCCGGGCTGATGATGCCCACGGAGAATTTCCGCCCGTGGCGCGTCGCCGCCAGCGATTGCACCTTGTCGTCGAAATAGGCGGCGGCGACGATTTGCGGCGATTCAGACATGGATTCGAACGTTTCTCGGTGGCCCAGGGGGGGATTGTTTTGTGGCGCGCCGCGATCTGATGTCGAGCCGTCGAGCTCGAGACTGCTCGAGCGAGCGCTTGAGGCAATAATCGCCGTCTGGCAGTGGTCCGTCTGCGTAATTGTCTGCGGACGCATCACAAAACAGCTTACAAGTAGGGCATCAGGTGCGCGGCGACCTCGATGGCCGTGAAGCGCTTGCCCAGTTCGGAGAAGTGGACGCCGTTGTCCTGGAGGTAGAGGCAGTCGTTCGACGCCGGGTAGCCGGCCCACGTCGCGTTGCGGTTGCACCGGTCGACGACGGCGTGGTAGAGGTCGGCGCCGAAGACGACGTCGTCGCAGCAGTCGTCGAAGGCGATGAGGTCGGCCATGATGCCGTTGATGTCGACGACGTCCGTGTCGTTGCGGTCCTTGTAGGACGCGGGGACCGGCGTCGTCGACACCCAGACGATGGTGCCGCCCGGCGCCAGGCCCGTCTTCAGCTTCGCAATGATCTGCTTCATGTTCGCCACGTACTGGTCCCGCGACACGTACATGTACTTGTGGGGGCAGATGTCGTGGAGCCCCCAGTTGAGGGAGATGACGTCCCAGCCGCCGTCGCCGACCCAGTCGTCGACGCACTCGAGGACGCCGAAGGACGTGCCGCAGGGCCCCTTGGGCGTGTGGTTGCCGAGGTCGTCGGCGAGGCGCCGCCCGTTGTCCGTGACGGACCCCGTCTGGAGCGCGTTGGCGAGGCCGCCGAGCACCTCGGGCAGGTAGTCCATGTAGCCCGTGCCGTTGCCGGAGATGGAGTCGCCGATGATGAGCGCGTTGGGGAGCGTCGCCGACTTGTTGCCCAGGTGGGGCGTGCAGTAGCAGTCCGCGGCGGCGGCGGCGCCGAGGGTCGCCGCGGCGACGAGGGCGAGGGGAGACGCCATGTTCGCGCACTCGTCGAGCTTCCGACGGAGACCGCGCCGTGATTGGGCAGCCCCGGCGGATTCATGATCGGCGTCGCCGGCGGAACGTGCAAACATCGCAACGCGCGGACAACACCCATTATGGGAGGCGCGGCGTCGAGCGCGCGGCCCGGGGGCGGGGACGCCGGGCGGAGCTACCAGGCGGGCGCCGGCGGCGCGCCGCAGCCGACGACGCGCCCCCAGCCGGGCTGCCCCGCCCCCGACGGCCCGCCGACGCGCCAGCGGCGGTCGTCGCGGCAGAAGATCACGGACACGGCCGTGAACCTGGCGCGGAAGATGAGCGTGAGCAAGCGGGGCGCCGAGGGCAAGGACGCCATGCGCCGGCGCCTGAGCCAGATGCAGCTGCCGGGCTTCGAGGGCCCCGACGGCGCGGCCCGCGAGCAGGCCGCGTCCGAGGCCGCGCTGAGCACGCTGTCCATGATCCTGGCGGACCCTTCCGAGTGCGAGGTCTTCGAGAGCTTCCTCCACAGCGAATATTCGGTGGAACTCCTCCACCTCTGGAAGGCCATCCGGAAGTGGGACGCGGGGCAGGAAAAGAGAGCGAACTTCCCAACTTCAAAGGCTCCTATCTCGGCCGATTCCCACTCGTTTCGACTGATTTTTGGACGAGCGATCATCTCTCGGAACGGTCTCGAAGCGTGGATGCTTTTACGGCACGCGCACGCGCGGAACACTCACGTTGAAGCGTGGTTGAATCAATATTCCTGGCTGCCCAGGTGGGACGCGCAGCTCGACCGCCAGGTCATGACCGCGCGGAGCCAGAACCCGGGCCCGGAGCCGCCGGCGCTCGCCGGGGAGATGCGCGACGCGCGCCTCGTGTCCCAGGCCGTGGAGATCTACGACAAGTTTTTAGACCCGGGCGGCGACTACTTTTGCGCGAGCCGCGTCCGCTTCGACGCCGCCGAGGTCGCGGGCCTGCTCGAGCGCGGCGTCGTGAGGCGCGGCCTCTTCCAGGGCGCCAAGGAGGCCGTGGCGAACGTGCTGAGCGCGGGCCTGCTCCGGCGCTACGGCGCCTGGATGGACACGGACAACGCGCGCCGCGAGTCCAAGGCGATCTACGACCGGCGGCCGTCCGGCGGCGGCCTCAGCGAGAGCTCCGACGAGCTCTACCAGCTCGACGACCTGGGCCACCGCGTGCGCAAGGGCTCGAACTTCAGCGCCGACTCGCTGAACTCGCCCCTGCCCTTCGAGGGCGGGTCGCCCGCGGGCCACGCGTGCCACGCGCGGTCCTTCTCGCTGTCCGGCCCCTCGTCGGGCGGGAACAAGCCGGACAAGCAGGACCGGCGCCGCTCCGAGAGCTCCGTCGTCTCCGGGTCGTCGTCGAACTCCAACGACAACGCGCTGCGCATCGTCCTCACGAAGCCGCGCCGCTTCTCGCACCAGACGTCGACGACTGTGTGGATTCCAAACCTTCAACCCGACTTCAATGTGCGCGTATGCGACAGTGTCGATGCAAGCTCTTCGGCTGTGCTTCGAGAACTCGACGAGAGCAATCGATTCGTCCAAAAATCAGCCGAATCGACTTCGATTTGACCGAGATAGAGAGGTTTGAAGTTTTGCTGGACGCGTCCATTCCACTGGTTGATTTCCACACAGGTCGACTTCCAGCGACGCGTCCGGCGGGTCGAGCCCGTCGACGCCGACCTTCGAGCGCAAGGGCCTCTCCGACGCCTACGACGCGGGCTACCTGAACCAGCGGCGGCGGAGCAGCCAGCTCAGCGACGTCTCCGACGACCCGCTCGCGGAGGAGGACGGCAGCGACGCGCCCGAGAGCCCGAGCCCGCCCGAGCCGTCGACGCCGTCGGCGCCCGTCATGCGCCGGGCCAAGGAGATCGACGACGTCCTGGACCGCGCCGGGGGCGGCGGCGAGAAGCGCGAGCGGCGGAGCAGCGACCCGGAGATCACGGCGGGCGAGATCCGGCGGCGCCGGTCCGTGTCCCTCGAGGACCTCTTCGGCGCCGCGCCCGTGTCGGCCTCCGCCGACGACCGGCCGCCGGCGAACGCGCCGCCCGCGCGCCTCGAGCCCCTCCACGGCGCGCCCGCGGCGCCGGACTCGCCGGGCGCGTCGCGGCGCTACTCCCAGACCTCCGAGTTCTCCTCCGAGCAGACCGCGTCCGTGTCGCGGAGCTCGTCGCTCCACAACTCGGAGCTCGACTGCGCCCACCGCGGCAGCCTCCCGGCCATCGACGACGACGACCACCTAAAGGGCCCGGCCTTCGCGCCCGTCCCCGAGGACTCGCCGCGGCGCAACTCGTCCACCCAGGAGACCGAGGCCGCGGCGTAACGGCGGGAGTGGAGTGCGCCTCGCCAAGCTCCGTCGAGTCGAGTGCGAACTCCGCGCTCCTGGATTTAGTCGGCGGGCGCGTCGCCGACGCACAGCCGCGCGCGCGCGTCGTTCCGGAACTTGGGCGTCGCCCGCTCGCGCCGGCAGGGCTCCGGGTGCGGCGGCGGGCACGCGTCCGTCGCCGGGGCGTCCTCGTAGCAGTAGGGCGGCGCGCAGGGCCCCGCGGCGGCGGCGTCGCGCGCGCCGGCGGACGGCGCGAGGAGCTGGAGCGCGGGTTCGTCCAGGATGCTCCAGGACGCGCGCGCGGCCGCGTAGAGCGACGCCACGGCCTTGGCCTGGCGCGCCACCGTGCCGTTCTTCGGCGGCCGCCAGCGGTCGCGCGCCGCGGCGACGTCCGCGTCCGTCGGCGCCCAGCCGCCGAGGTCGAGGTCGAGGAAGCGGCACGCGGCGCGCGCGGCGCGGCCGTAGGACGCCGCGTCGTACAATAGTTCGAACCGGAGCACGCGGAAGCTCCGGCCGGGGTCCGGCAGCGCCGCGAGGTCCCGGGCCAGGAGCCCGAGGTGCGCCGCGACGAGGACCGCGTGGCCGAGTGGCGACCCGTCCCAGCGCTGGTGGGACGCGACGGTCGCGAAGAAGTCGCGGTGCACGACGAGGAACCGCAGGCGCGCCGGCGCGAAGGGGCTCGGAAAGGCCGCGCCGTGGCTCGCGAGGCGCGCGAGGTCGAGGCGGTCCGACGCGCGGAGGCGCCGCGCGACGTCTTCCAAGGTCGCGACCGCGGACCCGCGGCACCGCAGGCAGCGCTCCCTGGCCTCCTGCCAGCCGATGCGCTGCCACGTCGCCGGGTGCGGCGTCTCCGCCAGCGAGGGCCGCACGCAGCTCGCGTTCGCGTAGAGCAGCGCGACGCGCTCCTCGGGCTGCGTCCGCCGCTGCGACGGCAGGCTCTCCCAGCCGATCGTCGCGAGGCGGCTCGCCTCGCCGCAGGCGCCGCCGGACCGCTCGAAGGACCCGACGTCGAAGCGCTCGGGCATCTGGTCGACGACGACGCACGTCGACGGCGCGCGCTGCAGCAGGGGCTCGAGGAAGCCGGCGACGACGCCGTGGTGGCCCGCGCCCTCGGCGCCGGCGACGAAGACGTCGACGTAGGACTCGTAGTGGGGCCGCTCGCGGCCGCGCGCGGCATGGCACGTGCAGAGCCACGCGGCGAGGCCGGCGTGAAGGCGGGGCATGTGCTCAGGCCATCGTGATTACTATCCTAGCCAGCCTAGGGGCAGCCTCTTGACCCGGGTCTTTTTAGTCTGCGTTTCTCCTTCGATCCGGTCGGCGTGGCCAGCAAACCGGTTTGCGATGAAGTGCGTTGAACTGACGTTTTCTTCCTTGTCATCGCCGGGCGACGTCGGGCGATTAAGCGCGCTCATCAGCCTTTTGCCAAGCACACCTCGCACCGGCCACATCGCAGTTCTACATCAAAAATGTCCATGAACGCGATCCCCGAGCCCGTGCAGCCCGCCTCCCTCGAGCTGGTCCTCGCGGACTACATCAAGGCCGAGGGCGTCGAGGTCGCGGAGACCTACAAGCCCATCCTCGCCTACATTTCGAACCTCGCCAGCAACCAGTGCCTCGCCGAGACCTTCCACATGTTCGAGTGGGAGAAGACCTGCCAAGCCTACCTCGAGCCCATCATGGACGCCGAGAAGGCGGCGGTCGTCACGAAGAAGTTCATGGACGAGTCCGAGAAGCGCGTCCCGAAGCGCGACGTCGTCCTCGACATCCCCGAGGGCGAGGGCGAGATCCTGTGCAACGTCGAGTTCAAGCTCGCCTACGGCGGCAAGATCTTGCTGAACACGACGCACTTCCACGTGCGCCGCGGCCGCATCTACGGCCTCCTCGGCCACAACGGCTGCGGCAAGTCGACGCTCATGCGCGCGATCTCGTCGGGCCAGCTCGCGGGCTTCCCCGGCGCCGAGGAGCTCATGAAGCTCCGCGCGTGCTTCGTCGACCACGACATCGACGGCTCCGACGCGAACACGCCGACCATCGACTTCTGCCTCCAGGAGCCCATCCTCGCGCCGCTCGGCCGCGAGAAGATCCACGCCAAGCTCCTCGAGATGGAGTTCACGGAGGAGCTCATCGAGAAGCCCATCTGCAACCTGTCCGGCGGCTGGAAGATGAAGCTCGCCCTCGCGCGCGCCGTCCTCCTCAACGCGGACCTCCTCCTCCTCGACGAGCCGACGAACCACCTCGACGTGCAGAAGCAGGCGTGGCTCTGCGACTTCCTCACGGGCCCGGCGTGCGAGCACGTCACGACGCTCGTCGTGTCGCACGACTCCAAGTTCCTCAACAAGGTGCTCACGGACGTCATCCACTACGAGAACATGCGCCTCAAGCGCTACACGGGCAACCTCGACCAGTTCGTCGAGAAGTGCCCCATGGCCAAGGCCTACTTCTCGATCCACGACACGGAGATGAAGTTCACCTTCCCGGTGCCCGGCCCGCTCGAGGGCGTCAAGTCGAAGACGAAGGCCATCATCCAGGCCAAGAACATCTCCTTCACGTACCCCGGCGCGAAGAAGCCGACGCTCTCGGACGTGTCGTGCCAGCTCTCGCAGGCGTCGCGCGTCGCGTGCATCGGCCCCAACGGCGCGGGCAAGTCCACGCTCATCAAGGCGCTCGTCGGCGAGACGAAGCCCGACGCGGGCTCCCCGGAGATCTACCGCCACCAGAACTGCCGCGTCGCCTACGTCGCGCAGCACGCGTTCCACCACATCGAGCAGCACCTCGAGATGTCGCCCGTCGAGTACATCCAGTGGCGCTTCTCCGGCGGCCTCGACAAGGAGCAGCAGGCCATGGAGGCCGCGCAGATGACCGACGAGGAGAAGGCCAAGCTCAAGCAGAACTTCGTCGTCTACCTCAAGGAGCTCGCGGCGGAGCTCGACGAGGCGGGCAACGCGACGGGCGAGCGCCAGATCATCTTCGAGAAGATGGAGCCCCTCAAGGCCGGCCAGAAGCCCCCGCCGACGGACATCCAGAACGGCATCTTCCCCGACTGCGTGCGCCAGATCAAGCAGCTCGTCGGCCGCCGCTCGCGCCACGGCGACTACGAGTACGAGGTCAAGTGGGCCAAGCAGGACGGCACGTCCATGGAGGACAGCAAGAACCTCTACCTGCCCAAGGTCGTCCTCGAGTCCAACGGCTTCTTCAAGCTCATGAAGGCCATCGACGACAAGATCGCCGCCGAGGCCGGCAACGTCAAGCCGCTCACGACGGGCTGCATCCAGAAGCACCTCGACGACTTCGGCCTCATGGAGGAGTTCGGCACCTACGGCAAGATGAAGAACCTCTCCGGCGGCCAGAAGGTCAAGTGCGTCATCGGCGCGTCCATGTGGTTCTGCCCCCACCTCGTCATCCTCGACGAGCCGACGAACTACCTCGACCGCGACTCGCTCGGCGCGCTCTCGCGCGCGATCAAGGACTTCGAGGGCGGCGTGCTCATGATCTCGCACAACGCCGAGTTCTTCGGCGACATCGCGCCCGAGATCTGGGAGATCCCCGGCGACCAGAAGGTCCACATCTCCGGCGCCGAGTGGATGGAGGCCGTCCGCGCCCGCGAGCTCGCGGAGCAGAAGTTGAAGAAGAAGGCCGCGCCGACCCAGGAGGAGGACAAGTTCGACGCGCTGGGCAACAAGATCGAGTCCGTGACCAAGGCCGCGGACGTCGACCGCGACATGATCAAGCTCATGACGAAGAAGCTCAAGGGCCTCAAGGAGCGCCTCAAGAAGGGCGACGGCTCCGTCGAGGACGAGATCTTCGAGCTCGAGGACAAGCTCGACGCGGCCAACGCGATGATGAAGAAGGAGAAGGAGGCCGCCAAGGCCGAGAAGGAGGCCCAGAAGAAGCTCAACAAGAAGGAGAAGGCCCCCGCCGACAAGAAGAAGGCGACCAAGAAGAAGTAGATCTTCTCCTTCGGCCTTCGCGGGACCGCGCGCCCCTCGGGTTTGAGTCGCCGGTCCGCACTTTCTAATACCTACGCCATATTTTTCTTTTTTCTGGTGGGAGCGGCGGCTGACGCAGCGCGCCGGCGAGCGGTGTTTGAAGGTCCGCGCGCGGGTCGGGAGTCGGCAAATTCCTATTCAACATCGACTCGAGGTATTCAAGGGCCGAAGAATTTCAGTTTCAGGCAGCCCGGCCGCGGCGACCGCGAGCGGGCGCTGGCAGCTCGGAAACCGACGGCGGCGCGCGCCGGTGCACCCTGCGTGCGCAGTCTCAAACCGACCGCCGCATGTCCGTGTCGCCGCAGCGGCGCGTCGTCGTCGTCGGCGGCGGCATCGCCGGCATGGCCTGCGCCAAGGAGCTCGATGCGACGTGCGAGGTCACGGTCGTCGAGCGGTCGACGCACTACCACATCCCCATGCCGTCCACGCGCGCCGTCGTCGACGCGACCTACGCCTGGCAGCAGTTCGTGCCCCTGAAGCACGCGCTGAAGAAGGGGACGGTCCTGGACAACGCGGCGACGGGCATGCTCCTCACGGAGCCGACCCGGTGCTCTGCGCGGACGGCGCCTGCCTCGACGCCGACGCCGTGGTCATCGCCATCGGCGCGCGCTACATGTTCCCCGGCGAGGACGACTTCTCGAAGCCCGTCGGCGACCGCTTCAAGGCCTACCGCGCGGAATCCGCCAAGCTCGACGCGAACAAGAGCGTTTTAGTCGTCGGCGGCGGCCCCGCGGGCTGCGAGCTCGCCGCGGAGTTGAAATGCTTCGGGGAGCACGACGTCACCCTGGTCCACTCGGGCACGTCGCTCTGCTCGTCGCAGCGCGGCGCGCGGCCCGAGCTCGGCGAGCGCTGCGCGGCCGCGCTGAAAGACCTGGGCATCGCCGTCATCCTCGACGACCGCGTCGCCATCAACGCCAAGCAGCGGAGCACGCGCGGCGCCGTGACCCTCAAGGACGGGACGATCAAGACCAAAAAAGGCGTCGAAATCAAAGCGACCGAGGCGTTCTGGTGCGGCGGCAACGAGTACATGGGCCGCGAGGTCTTCGACATGCTCGAGTCCTCGAAGAGCGGCCAGCTCGTCGTCGACGGCGGCCTGCGCGCGGGCCAGGCCCGCGTCTGGGCGGCGGGCGAGATCGCGCACGCCGCCGGCGCGAGCGAGGCCGCGGCGATGGGGCGGTGCGCGGCGAAGAACGTGCTCGCCGCGCTCGCCGGGAAGCCGCCGGCGGCCGCCTACGCGCCGCCGGCCGACGCGACGATCCACCTCGCCTTCGGCCCGAAGCGCGGCCTCGCGCAGGTCGCGGCGACGCCGGGCTGCCTCGGGTCGAGGGGCGGCGTCTTCGACGCCGGCCCGAAAGCGAACCACAAGAACGCGCTCCACTCCTACTGCGCCAAGTACTGGGACGACGTCGGCAGCCAGCACATGCCCGAGATGAGGCCGTTCTAACGAGGGTTGCTTTTACGTGTACCGGGGAGTGTGCACGATCTGTGCATGGTGAAGTCAACAAAGCCCTGCCAGCAGTGCAGGCCAGGCTGTGGCAAAAAGAGTATGACGCTCCTGCTGGCCCGATTCGCGCGCCTCGGCGCGCGGACGACGCGACGCTTCAGCGGCGCCGACGCATCGCTCGGCGCGCGGACGACGCGACGCTTCAGCGGCGGCGACGCGTCGCTGCACCGCTCGGCCATCACGCAGCACCTCTGGGCGCTGCGCGACGGCGCCTTCGCGCCGCCGCCGCCGCGGGCCGACGGCTCGAGGGTCCCCGCGCACTCGCGCGTCTGCGTCGACTACAAGCTGACGAGCGACGCGGAGCTGCGGTCGCGCTACGAGTCGGCCTTCGGCACGCTCCGCGTGGGCCGGCTCTTGGAGGACATGGACGCGCTCGCGGGGTCCGTCGCGTTCTTGCACGTCGACGACGGCGACGCCGCGACGGACCCGCCGATCCTCGTGACGGCGTCCATGGAGAAGATGGAGCTCGTCGACGAGCGCCTGAGCCTGGACGAGGACTACGCGCTCGTCGGGCAGCTCGCCTGGGCGGGGCGGAGCTCGCTGGAGATCTACGCGGAGCTGCGAAGGGCGGACGGCGCGGCGGCGCTGCGCGCCGTCTTCACGTTCGTCGCGCGCAAGGCCGACGGCTCGGGCGCCGCGACCGTGCCGGCGCTCGTGCCGGAGACGGCCGACGAGCGCGCGCGGCACGCCGCGGCGGCGGCGAAGCAGGCGGCGCGCAAGGCGCGGCGCGCGGCCGCGGCGCGGGCCCCCGACGACGACGACGGCGCGGCCGTCGACGCGCTGCTCGGGCCCGGCCGCGTCGCCCGCGACTTCCCGGGCCAGGCCGACGACGGCTGCGTGCCCATGGCGTCGACGTCGCTGCGCAACGCGCTCATGTGCCACCCGCAGGAGCGGAACACCGCCGGCCGCGTCTTCGGCGGCGTGCTCATGCGGCGCGCGCTGGAGCTGGCCTTCGCGACGGCGTTCTCCTACGGCGGGGCCGCGCCGCTGACCAAGGCCCTGGACCGCGTCGACTTCGTCCGGCCCGTCGACGTCGGGAGCCTGCTCGCGCTCAAGTCGCACGTCGTCTTCGCGGAGGGGACGACGATGCACGTCGACGTGTCCGCCGCCGTCTGGAGGCCGGACAAGCGCGAGTCGACGCTCACGAACACGTTCAGCTTCGTCTTCACCGTCGACGGCCCGCGGCCCCTGAAGAGGGTCCTGCCGTCGACGCGGGCCGAGGCGCGGCTCCAGCTCGCCGCCATGGCCCGGGCGACCGAAACTTAGGTGGGTTAAAACTCGTCGTCGTCGTCGCCCCAGAACTTGCGGCAGAAGCAGTTCGTGTTGGGGCAGCGCTGGAGCGGCTCGTAGGTCAGCACGGACGGGCTCATGCCGGACCGGAGCGCCTGGGACCCGGACCGCGCCGTCGAGTCGTCCTGGCCCGCCGACGACCGCTGCCGGCCCTTGACGCTGCCCCGCGTGGACCTCGTGCCGAGGTCGCCGCCGTCGTCGCCGACGAGCGTCCGCCCGGGCCCCTTGGGCGACTTGTGCCACGAGGCCTGGGACTTGCTGTCCACGGACGAGATGGACGCGTTGTCGCTGTAGGGGTTCGAGCTGTTGGACCGCTGGGACGCGACGGACGCCGCGTCCCGCTCCCGCCGCTTCTTCACCCTCGCCAATTTCTCCGCCTTCTCCTTGCGGAACTTGTCCTCGCGGCCGGCCCAGCGCTGGAGGTGGAGCATCTCGCCGCGGTGCATCTCGAAGAGGGGCTTGCCCGGGTCGAAACTCGGCGGCGCCGTGTTGCGCGTCCCGTGGCGCAGGTAGTAGTCGACGTCGTGGAGCATGAACTTGAGCGCGTTCACGTCCTTGAGGCGGCTCTTGACCTTGGCCAGCGACTTGCGCTTCGGGGCCTGGGCGAAGCCCGTCTCCGCCGTCATGAAGGACTGGAAGCCCTCGGCCGCCGCGAGCTCGTCGGGGCTGGCCATCGTCGTCCCAGCTAGCGCGCTAGAAAAATCGGGCAGCTTGAAGCGCGTAAAAACCCAAAACAAAACCAAGAACGCTCGCGAGTCATGGCAGCCCTCATGCCGCCCCTGGCCGCGGTCGCGATCGCCGAGTTCTCGCCCGTCGCCGTCGGCGACCCGCGGCGCGTCGTCGCGGCGACGATCCGGATGAATCGCGTCGCCGTGACCTTCGGGGACGGCGCCGCCGCGGACTTCCACGTCGCCTGGCTCTACGACAACGCGCCGCGCTGCTTCGAGCCGGCGTCGGGCCAGCGGCTGCTCTACGTCGACACGGTGCCCCTGGCGCCGCCGCGCCGGGCCGCGGCCGCGGGCGGCGACCTCGAGATCGTCCGCCCCTGCGGCGCCGTCGACGTCCTGGCGGGCGCGTTCCTCCGGTCGCGCGCGCGCGGCCTGGCCCCCGACGGCCGCGGGCCGACGCCCTGGAGCGCGGCGACGGCGCCCTTCCCGCGGGCCAGCTGGGACCGCGTGAAGCACGACGACGCGGCCCTCGGCGCCATGTGCGAGCTCGCGCGAGCCCGCGTCCCGCGGCGGACCCGCGCGTTCGAAACCGTCGGCGCGCCGCAGGTGCTCGCGCACGGCTTCGTCGTCGTGTCGGGCATGCCCAACGTCGACGGCGCCGTCGCGGACCTCGCGCGGCGCGTCGGCCCGCTGAGCCACACGGAGATCTACGGCGACACGTTCCGCGTCGAGTCGCAGCGCGACGCTCGCAACGTCGCCTACGCCCGCGCGGAATTCAAATCTTCAACCCGACTTCAATGTGAGCGTACGCGACGGTTTCGACGCGAGGCTTTCGGCCGTGCTTCGAGAACTCGATGAGAGCAATCGATTCGTCCAAAAATCAGCCGAATCGACTTCGATTCGACCGAACTAGATAATTCTGAAGTTTGGTCAGGACCACCCAAACCAGCGGTTGAATTCCACACAGGCCTACACGAGCCTGCCCATCGTGCCCCACATGGACCTAAGCTACTACGAGTCGCCGCCGGGCCTCCAGCTCCTCCACTGCCGCTACTTCGACGAGAACGTCGCGGGCGGCGCGTCCTACCTCTACGACGCGCACGCGCTCGCCCGCGTGGAACTCAAATCTTCAACCCGACTTCAATGTGCGCGTATTCGAAAGGCTTGACACAAGTTCTTCGGCTCTGCTTCAAGAACTCGACGAGGGCGATCGATTCGTCCAAAGATCAGCCGAATCGACGTCGATTTGGCCGAGCTAGAGAATGTCAAAGTTTGGTCGGGACGTCCCGGCTCACCGGTTGATCTCCACGCAGGCGCTCGCGGAGGACCTCCGGGCCGTCGCGCCGGACGCGTTCGCCGCGCTCGCGCGCATCCCGGCGACGTTCCGCAAGATGCGGCCCGCGGCGCGCGCCCAGGCGGGCGTCGCCAACGCCGCGGCCATTGAGTACCGGCGCGCGCACGTCCAGACGAACGCCGAGGGCGACGTCACGGGCGTCTTCTGGGCGCCGCCGTTCATGGGGCCCCTCGACGCGGACGTCGACGACGCCGACGCCTACTACCGCGCCGCGCGGCTCTTCGCGCTCCTCATGGACGAGGGCGGGCCCGCCGACGGCGACGACGCGGACGCGGCGCGCGCGCGCGGCCACTCCGTCGGCCGCAAGGTGCACTTCAAGCTCAAGCCGGGCGACGCAGTCCTCTTCAACCAGCGGCGCATGCTCCACGCGCGCGAGGGCTTCGACCTGGGGCGCGTCGATCCTACCGCGACGACGCCCGCGCGCCTCCTCGAGGGCTGCTACGTCAACATCGACTCGTTCCTCTCGAGGACGCTCATCCTCCGCGGCGCCGACGACCCGGCCGGCGCGACGCGCGTCGGCAACCAGGCCGCCTGAGCGCGGCGCTCGTCGCCTGGAACTAAGAGGCGCGCCGCTTACGCGTCGCGGTCACGGTCGAGCCGCGCGCGCGCGGCGGCGGGACGGCCCGCGCGCGCGGCGCGAGCGGCGGCCCGCGCGGCCCGGCGCGGCCGACGGCGCCGGGCCAGCGCCGCAGGCGCCGCGGTCGAACCTCGCGAGGAGGCGCTGCGTCCCGTTCTAGATGCCCGCGTCGCAGATCGTTGCTCCACGCGACTTGGGGCAGCTCTCGCGGATGGGGGGCAGCTCTCGCGGTGGGGCAGCTCTCGCGGATGGGGCAGCTCTCGCGGTGGGGCAGCTCTCGCGGTGGGGCAGCTCTTGGCCGTCGACGCGCGCGAAGCTGCTCGCGTTGCACGCCCGGCGGCCCGCGGCGCGGCCCAGCCAGACTCGTGAAAGAGCTGCGACCGGAAGGCCACTTTTTATTCTATATATAATGACGCATTCTATTCAAATGCAAGCTTCACCGGGACTTCAGCCGTCGTGCGTTGTGTTTTCTACGTAACTCAAACGCAAACAGACATTTAACACTAATTAAAGCATTCTTTGAAAGGTGTGGTGGACCGAGAAGGTTGGCTGTGAAAATTACATAAAGCAAAGGAAAACCGCAACATCAGAGACTTCAAAGGTCCCTTAGAGCTCTCTCAAGAGTTCGTGGCCGACGTCGCGACGCAAGCATCCACAGGACTCCATCGACGTCCAGCGGGGTCGCTCGAAGGCCCGTCGTCGATCCGGAACGAATTCCGCCCCTCGCGCCCCGCCCCCCGCACCCACCATGCGCCACAACCGCCGGCGCGCCATCGCGAACATCCCCCTGCCCGAGCTCCAGGACGCCTACCTCGACGTCGTCGACTACAGCGAGTCGCTCCAGCGGCGCTGCGCCGAGCTCGCGGACAACGTGCGCGTCCTGCGCCAGAAGTACGCGAGCGCCAAGGCCGAGAACGCGGACCTCATCTGGAACCGGCTCGTGCGGCCCGACATGGTCCTGTCGGGGCTGCCCGCCGTCGACGACGGCGTCGCCGAGTCCGACGGGTTCTTGGGCCCCTACGCCGTGGGCGCGACGCTGGGCGTCGGCTCCTCCGCCGTCGTCCGCGAGGGCCGGGACCGGCGCACGGGCGAGCGCGTCGCGCTGAAGATCGTCGACAAGAGCCGCGCGGCGCGCTACAAGGCCGCGAAACGCCTGAACAACGAGGTCGCGCACACGCGCGCGGTCGAGCACCCCAACGTCGCGCGCCTCGTCGACGTCGTCCACACGCGCACGCGCCTCTACCTCGTCCTCGAGCACGGCGGCCGCGACCTCTACGGCCACGTCGGCGACGCCTACGCGGACTTTGTGTGCCCGGAGCCCGCGGCGCGCCACGTCGTCAGCCAATTGGTCGCGGCGTGCACGGCGCTCGCCGCGTCGGGCGTCGTCCACCACGACATCAAGTCCGAGAACGTGCTCGTCACGGCCCAGGACGGCCGCGTCGCCGACGTGCGCCTCACGGATTTGGGCATGTCCGACCGCTACGCGGCGGGCGACCGCGGCACCGCGTTCTGCGGCTCGCCGGGCTTCTTCCCGCCGGAGATGGTCACGGCGCCCGACTACGACCCCTTCAAGGTCGACGTCTGGTCCGTCGGCTGCGTCGCGCTCGAGCTGTTGCTCGGCCGCCAGTGGTTCTCCGACAGGTGGCTGCCCGCGTCCAAGCTCACGGGCGACCGCCCCGAGTTCGCCGAGGCGTTGGCCCTGGCCCTCGCGGACCTCGGCGACGCGCTCCGGGAGTCCACGCTGCCCGCGGAGGCCAAGGGCTTCCTCGAGCGCGCGCTCACGGAGGACCCGGCGGACCGGCCGACAATCGAGGACCTCGCGGGCCACCCCTGGGTCGCGCGCCACCCGCACCTGCGGCGCCTCTCGCGCGCGGGCTCCCACGGCGACCTCGCGGCGGCCGCCGCCGCGATCCAGGCCGAGGCCAAGGCCGCGATCCAGGCCGACGCCGACGCCGCGGCCGCCGCGCCGGCCGCCGCGGCGACCCGGGCCGACGCCGACGCCGACGCCGCCGCCGCGCCGGCCCGCGACGCCGCGCCGGCCCGCGACGCCGCGCCGGCCCGCGACGCCGCGGCCGCCGACGCCGCGGCCGTCGCGCCGTCCGTGACGCCGTCGCCGCCGACGTCCGCGCGGACGCGGCCCGTCCACGCGTCGCGCGCGGCGCGCGCGACGGGCGACGGCGCCGCGGCGCCGGACCACGCGGCGCCGCCGGGCGCGCCGCCGGAGACCGAGGCGCTCGTCCGGTCCCTCGAGATGGCCGCGGCGGCCTGCGGCCCCCTCCGGCGGCCCGCGGACGACGTCCGCGTGCTCTTCGCGGCCGCGACGCGGCTCTTCGAGGCCGCCGCCGCGGCCGCGGCGACGCCGCGGGGCGACGAGGGGGAGCTCGCGCCCCTCGACGCCGTCGCGCGGAGCGTCTTCCGCGCGGCCGACGCCTACGTGCGCCGCCGCCGCCCGGACCTCGCCGAGTCCTTCGCGAAGATCGCCTACGCGGCCGGGCCCGACGACGACCCGGAGGACGACCAGCCCCCCGACGACGTCGTCGAGATGGACCGGCTCCGCGCGGGCTTCGCCACGCGCGCGGAGCTCGACGAGGCCAACCAGCTCTGAGCGGCCGCGCTCCAAGTCAAGTCTTCTTCTGCCACCGTGGCACCGTTCTTCGTCAGAATCGAGCCAACACGAGTCTGCTTTTTTGCTTCCTCCTCGAGAAGCCACCAATTCCCCTCTTTTGTTTGTCTTTTTTTCCCCCCTTTCAAAGACCCCGCGCCCGCGGCTCCGGATCGGCATCCTCCGGTCTGGGCCCGCGCGACGACGAACGATGCCACCGCACATCCCGACCATCACAGTAACACACTATTTATTCCAGCCCCGCGTACATCGCCGCGACGTCCGACGGGCCGAGGGTCGCCTTCGTCGATTTCGAGGAGATCGTCGAGCCCGAAGAACGCGGCGCGGGCCGCCGCCGGTGCTGGGACCGCCGCGGCGCGCGGGGCGCCGCGACGCCCGCGCGGCCGAGGGCGAGCTTGAACTGGAGGCCGTAGGTCGCCTCGAGCTTCAGCACCGCGACGACCGCCGCCTCCTTGGGCGCGACGCGGCGGCTCGCGATCATCGCGTGCGTGTCGTCGCCGTGGAGCCAGGCGCCGTGCGTGCCCTGCGAGAAGTCCATCGTAAAATCGACCTCCCCCACGTCGTCGTTGTAGAGGCCGAAGGCGACCTACGACATGCGTCGGTAACGATTCTTCATCGTTTTCCCGGTCAAAATCTCTCGAAAATCGTCACGGATGCAGGACGCCGAAGGCGACGCAGTGGTCGTCGTCGAGGCGCGTGCGCACCTCCTTCTTGAAGAGGTAGCACATGTTCCGGTTCAGCCGCGCGACGAGCGCCGCGCCGTCGCTCGGCCGCGCCGCGGCCTCGAACTCGATGGCCTCGACGCACTCGACGAGGCCGACCTCGACGTCGCCGCGCGCGAGCGCGCCGGCCCTTGCGCGCTCGCGCCGCCGGTTGACCTTGACCGCGCCGCGCGCCTCGCGCTCCGCGAGGTCCAGATTCGCGCGCGCCGTCGCCGCGTAGGCGTCGCCGTGCATCTCCGCGACGGCGACGCTCTGCCGGAAGCAGGCCCGCGCGTCGTCGAGGTGGCCCGCGCGCTGGAGGATCAACCCCAGGTTCCCCGCGCGCCGCGCGACGGCCGGGTGGTGCTTCCCCAGAAGCTTCTCCGTGAGGTCCAGCGACGTCGTCACGTGCGTCATGGCGTCGTCCCACGCCTCCAGGCTGCCGCAGATGGCCCCGAGGTTGTTGTGGATCGCCGCGAGCTCGAGGCATTCGGCCCCCGACGTCCGCGTCCGCTCCTCGAGGGCCGCGAGGCCGAGCGCGCGCGCCTCCCGCAGCGACGTAGGGTCGCCGTGGGCCTGGAGTGCCGCGGCCAGGTTCGTCCGCACGGCCGACCGCTTGTCCTCGTAGGCGTCGTCGTCGCCGTAGAGCGCGAGCGCGCTCCGGAGCAGGTCGACGGCCTCGGCGTAGCGCGTCCGCGCCTTGGCCCGCAGCGCCGCCTTGCGCTTCCTCGCGTCGCTCGCGTCGTCGGCGCGCGCGCCCGCGTGCTTGGACTCGTCGTCGGCCAAAGCGCAGAGCGCGGCGGCGAGCGTGTTCCGGGCCTGCGCGGCGACCGTCGGCTCCGTCGCCTCGCGCCGTCCGGCCTCCTTCGCGAGGCCCCGCGCGAGGCGCACGGCCTCGAGGTGGTCGCCCGTGAGCCGCGCGACGCCGACGGTGCCGCTCGCCGCGGCCGCGCGCGCGCCGGCCGCGGCGTCGGACGCGTCGGGCTCGCGCTCGAGGGCCTTGACGACGGCGGCGTAGCGCGCCCTCGCGTCGCCGTAGGCGCCCCGCGCGACGTCGAGCTCCGCGACGTCGAGGAGGAAGTGGGCCCGCGCGTAGGCGTCGAAGGCCTCGCCGCGCGCGTCGCAGCGCTTCAAGCTCCGGCCCTCCGCGACAGCGAGCGCCGCCGCGTGCGCGAGGTCGCACTCGCCTAAACCCCGCAGGAGCTCGCCCATGGCCCGGAGCTCGCCCTCGTGGGCCCGCGCGTCCGCGCAGAGCGCCCGCACCGCGGCCGCGTCGACGCCGTTCCCCGCCCACGCCTCCAGGAGCGCCATGCGCTTCGCGACGCTCGCCGCCTCGTTGCCCGAGAAGTAAACGCGGAAGAAGGCGTAGTGGCCGTGGGACCCGGCCCCGACGGCGAGGGCCTTGAGCGCGGCCACGTGGACCTGGATCTCCGCGATGACGCGGCCGGCGCCGACGGGCAGCGCGACGTTGACCAGCAAATCGCGGAAGCCGCAGAACGTCGGGCGCGCGAAGCGGTTCTTGAGCCGGACGACGGCGAAGGCCTCCCGGATGCGGTCCGCGGCGACGACGGCGCCGTGGAGGCTCTCGACGTAGACCGACGCGCGGAGCACGTCTTTGAGCCTCGACGCGGGGTACTTCTCGGTCGCGTACTCCTTGTGCATCTTTTCCCGGCACCGTTCTCGCTTCTTCAGCGGCGCGACGGTGGACGTCGTGCCGAGCTGCTGCGTCGCCGTCGCGACGGCCTCGGCGACGCCGCGGAGCTTCTCCGCGAAGCCGTCGGCGGCCGCCGCCGAGAGCTCGTAGAGCTCGTCGAGCGTCGTCGCGCTCTGGGTCTGCGGCTCGGCGTCGGGCGCCTCCAGCGACTCGAGCTGCGGCGCGGCGATGTGCTCGCGCGCGCGCAGGGACTCGTAGAGCTCCTCGGACGCGCGCTTCTGCTCCAAAAAGGCCCGCACGCGCTCGAGGAAGGCGCGCGTCTCCGGGCGCAGCTCCTTCGGCGGCGGGGCGGCGTTCTGCGCGGCAGCGTCCAGGTCCGCCGCGAGCCTCCTGGGCGTCGGCGCCTCCTCGCATTGCTGCGCAGCCTCCAGGTCCGCCTCGAGGCGCCGCGGCGTCGGCATCTTTCGCAGGCAGCCTCGCAGCCCTAGCTCATCGGGCAGCGCGTCGGACACCGATGCAAGTCCGGTGCAAGAATCAGGACTTGACGTCGGTGCTTCCCTGCTTAGGGCTCGATCCTCGGCGCGCCGCGCGCGTCGCGCGCCTGGTCGAGGCGGATGATCTCGTGGCGGACGTGCTTCTCGAGGGCCTCGGCGGTCTTGACGAAGATGCCCGTGCCGTTGTAGGCGCGGCAGTTGTCGAACATGCGCATGAGGTCGGCCTTGAGCTCGCGGAAGTGCTCGTAGGTGCCGTCGTCGAGCTTCGTCTCCATGGTCCGGAGGTCGGTGGGGTCCGCGATTTTGTCGAGGTAGTCGTCGACCTCGACGGTGTCCACGGGCTCGAGGAAGGGCCACGCGGCCTCGTGCGCCTTCGCGGACTCGAGGAGCGCGCGCATGTCCTGCGCGTCCGCGCGCGACCGCGCCTCGTCCTTGTCCTCGGGCTGGGCGAAGCGCTGGAGCATCTCCTCCGTGTAGCCGAGCTCCCTGAGGCCTAGGAAGGCGCCGCGCGTCGCGGCGATCGCGAAAAGGAAAGGGCGACGCACCGGGGATCTGGTCGAGGAGCGGCTTCGTCGCGTCGACGGGCCCGGGCAGCCGGTAGACGGGCGACGCCTCGTAGCGCTTCTCGAGCTGGTCGATGACCCACGCGCGCTGCTCCGCGAGCATCTCGCGGACGCGGAGGTAGTCGATCGTCGGGTGCACCTGGGCAGGACAAGAGAGATTCAACGTCGCTTCAACGTGAGTGTTCCGCGCGCGCGAGTTCCGGAAAAAGCATCCACGCTTCGAGACCGTTCCAAGAGATGATCGCCCGTCCAAAAATCAGCCAAAACGAGTGGAAAACGGCCGAGATATGAGGCTTTGAAGTTTGGAATTTCGCTCTCTTGTCCTGCCCTGGGGTGCACGTAGCACTCCATGAGCGTGCCGCCGTCGTAGTCCTTGATGTAGCCCAGGTAGTGGGCCTTGGGCATGGAGATGGTCTTGTCGAAGCCCTGCTTCTGGAAGTAGCCGATCGCGTGGTTGTCCGCGTACGTCAGGAAGTAGAGGATGCCGCGCTCGACGGCGCGGTTCTTCAGGTGGTTCATGAGGCGCGTCCCGAAGCCGCGCACCTGCTCGCTCGCCGTGATCGCGCCTACGGAAGCGGTGGCCGCGTCGTTGCCGCGCCTCGCGACGCCGCCGCGATCACAGAACGCGATCTCCGCGAACTGGCGCTCGAGGAACGGGCGGTACGCGATGCCTCCGAGGATGTCCGTGCCGTTGCGCAGGATGACGAGCGCCTCGTGGCGCCGGTCGAAGACGAGGCGCACGATGTACTCCTTCGGCATCTGCGAGCGCGCGGCGCCGTCGGAGAGGTCCGGGGGGGGGCAGCCCGCGCGCACCTTGGGCAGCTGCGCCGCGAAGATGTTCTTCAACGTGCAGAGCCGCTCGAGCGCCTCGATGGAGCTGTCGTTGGTGATGACCTCGTAGGTGATCTCGCCCTTCTCCTCCGCCTCCAAGGCGGCGGCCTCGCGGGCGCTCACACCCCGGCTCATACTCAGTGCGAGTGGGTTAAAGTTCACTAAAGTTTGCGAGCAGTCGAGTTGCAGCTCTATAAAGGCTGCCCGCGCGCGCGGGCCGCCGCCGGGCGGCGCGTCGGCGATGCCTCGAGAGGAAGGCGTGGGCATGCGCCGACGGGCGGTCATCACGGCGAAGAAGGGCTGCATCGTGCGCGCGGGCCTCGAATTGGATAGCGAGGAGCTCGCGACGCTGCCGCCCGGCGCCGCCGTCGACGTCCTCGACACGCGGGAGAACTCCAAGGGCACGCAGCGGGCGAAGGTCGTCGTCGACGGCGCCCGGGAGGGCTGGGTGAGCGCGAAGACCATCAAGTGCGACGCCGTCGCGACGGTGCGCATCCGCCACTGCGGCGGCGGCATAGCCGGCTGAGGCTCGAGCCCGGGCTTCGGGCGCTACGCGCACGTGCTGTCGCGGAAGATCGAGGACCGCTTCGGCGACTACATCGACGTCGTGGCGGAACCGGACCCGGGCCTGACGGGCCGCTTCGAGGTCAAGCTCGAAGGCGCCAGCGCGACGTGCGTCGAGAACGGCGTGCTCATGGACAAGTCGACGAGCTTCCTCGTGGGCCACGGCAAGTGCTCGAATGCGCGCTTCGACCTGCTCGGCGCGCGCGACTTCGAGGTCGAGGCCATCGAGGAGGTGTTGGACGACGTCGTCATCAACTCCGTCGTGGACGGGTCCATGAGCGAGCACGCCAAGGCCGTCGCCGGGGGCGCGACGTGAGGCGGACGCGGGGCGCCGGAATGACGCGCGACCGCCGCGGTGGCCGGCGGCCGCGCCGATAAGGAGGCGCCCCTTCCCGAGCGCGCGCGTCGCGGCCGGTGGTTCCGGCGACTTCCGCGCCGGGCAGCCGTCCTGTCCCGCCGCCCCGACCGCCGCCCGCGGCCTCGGCCGCCGGCGACGCGCGCTCGTGAGCCTGCGCGCGTGCGCACGGGCGACGCGGACGCGAGGGGGGTTTCACTTTTTTTATTCTTTTTCGTTCGGGGTGCGTCGACCAAGGTTGGGAGGTCCCCGACCAGCCAAGGAGCAAGCGCCGTACCCGTGGCCGCACCGCAACGTCGCGCGACGCCCCGACCGACGGCCGTGCCCAACGTTGGTCCGTCGCCCGGCGCGCCTCCACTCTGGCGCGGACGCACGGGAGCCAGCAGCGCGAGCGTGCCGAGGCCCGGGAGACGTCGCAGGCCGCGACGCCGAAGAACGCGCTTTCTCCCGCGATTGTTCGGCCGCGCTGCCCGCCCATGGCCGCGGCGATGGAGATCGACCCCGCGGGCGCGCTGCACGAGGTCCTGGACAAGTACGAGGCCGGCGACATGGGGTCCCTGGACCTGCTCCAGGGCGCGCCGGGATGGCCCGACGCGCTCGCGTCGGGCAACGCCGGGTTCCCCCTCGCGAGCCTCGGCGGCTGCGAGCCGCGCTTCTCCCTCGCGGGCAACGCCTACGCCGAGCAGGCCTCGGAGCTCCTGAGTAGCCTCTCGAGCGCGCGCGTGCCGGACGCGGCCATGGACGGCTCGGGCGCGTCCGCGGCGTCGCGCGGCGTCGCGGCGTCGCGCGCGCTCCACGACGACGACCGCTGGTTCGACCGCGCGGCGTCGGCGTCGGCCATGGACGAGGACGTGCCCGACCGGGCGAAGACGCACTTCATCGGCGCCTACTCGCCCGAGGCGCGGAAGCGCCGGCTCGCGGAGTTCCACGCGAAGCGCGAGCGCCGCGTCTGGACGCGCAAGGTCAAGTACGACGTCCGCAAGAACTTCGCCGACACGCGCATGCGCGTCAAGGGGCGCTTCGTGAAGAAGGAGGACGAGGACCTGCTCAAGGAGCTCATCTCGATCACCTAGCGCGGCCGCTTCCTAAGCGCGCGAGTCGCCTCGACGACGCGCGCGAGGATCGGGCCCGCGTCGCCCGCGAGGGGGAGGGCGTCGAGGTGCCCGAGGGCGGGCCGGGGGTTGACCTCGACGATGGTCGCCCCGCGCACGTAGGCCGCCCGCGGGAGCGTGTTCGCCGGCGCGACGGCGCACGACGTGCCGACGACGAGGAGCACGTCGCCCTCCTCGAGCGCCTCGACGAGGTCCTCGGCCTCGAGCCAGGTCACGAGCGGAATGGACTCGAAAAAGAGGACCACGTTCGGCCGCGCGAAGAGCGCGGGCGGCCGGAGCGGATCCGGCGGCCCGGCGAGCGCCACGGGCGTGCCCAGCCAGCCGTGGCGGTGCGTCGCGACGGAACCGTGGAGCTCGACGACGTCCGCGCTGCCCGCGCGCTGGTGCAGGCCGTCGACGTTCTGCGTGACGATTCGAACGTCGTCGAGCGACCGCTCGAGCGCCGCGAGGGCGTCGTGCGCTTCGTTCGGCGTCGCCCGCGCGATCGGCAGGAGCAGGCGCTCGCAGTAGTGGCGCCACGCCTCGCGCGGCGAGAAGAGGAAGCCGAGCGGCGTGCCGAAAAGAAGCACGCCCGCGTCGGCCCAGAGGCCGTCGCCGCCGCCGAGCGCGTCGCGGTACGTCGGGATGCCCGAGGCCTTGGAGACGCCGGCGCCGGTGAGGACGACGCAGCGCTTGGCCGAGGCGAGGCGCTCGGCGACGACGTCGATGTCGCGCTGGGACCAGCGGATCGTCGCCGTCGTTTTTGTGGATGCGCTCAGGACCATCGTGCGCTGGTTGCTGCTGCCGGTCGTGCAGCCTCACGCCGCATTTTGCTCAAGCATTGCTTGTGGCAAGAAGTGCTCGTCCGACATGCTTGGTCAACGTAGCGAGGTGTTGAACTTTGGCAGCCCAGTGTTGTCGGCCTGGGCCAGCGCGCGCGCCGCCGCCGGCCGCCGGCGCCATGGGCTTCTTCGAGATGTTCGCGCTGGGCCTCGGCGTCATCGCCGTGGGGACGACGATGGCGCTCGTCTGGCGGACGATGAACGCCATCTACCGCGCCATCGAGCACATGAGCGAGGACGAGGACGAGGAGCGGGAGCGGCGCGAGCAGGAGGCGGAGGAGGAGCGGCTCGCGCGGGAGGCCCGGGAGGCCGCGGGCGGGGAGGAACAACCCAAGGGCCGCAAGGGCTTCAGCGTCGCCTTCTGGGACTTCCTCATCTACATGGGCTTCCTCGCGACGTTCACCTGCGTAGTGTACGCCGAGCGGAACGCGGACCCCTACAACACGCACCTCGCCTTCGAGGACTGGTTCACGGGCAACGAGTTCGAGTACAACGTGCCGTTCCAGTTTCTGAATCTCAGGCACCAGGTCTACTCCTGGCTCGAGGGCGTCATGGTCCCCGGCGTGCTGCCGACGGCGGTCGACGGGTCGAACCGGCCGCTGAGCGGCCCGGAGACGCACTTCCTGGCGGACCAGCAGAATTTTCGCATCGGGCGCATGCGGCTGCGGCGCGTCACGGTGCCCGGGCGGTCGCAGATCACGCGCTTTTTGCGGCACGGCGCGGACGCGGACGTCGGGCGCATCTGGGAGCCGTACGAGTCGCCGCGGTCCTGCCGCTGGGGCGGGAGCAACGAGGACACGAGCGACTGGGTGAGCCCCGACGGCAACTACACCATACCCTACCGCACGGCCGACGAGACCGAGGAGCCCACGCTCTACAGCACGACCACCTATAAACGGTACTGCGGCGGGGGCCAGGTCTTCGACCTCAACGCGACGTACGCGGGCGCGATCGCGGAGCTCCGCCGGCTCCGCGACGACGAGTGGCTCATCACGCCGGACACGCGGGCGCTGCTCACGGAGTTCGTCGTCTACAACCCGGGCACGGACCTTTTTACATTGTTCCGGGGTCTCGTGGAGTTCATGCCCGCGGGCACGGTGATCCCGTCCTTCAACATCCTGTCCGTGTCCCTGGCGCACACGAACCGGGCGCTGACGAACGACGGCGTCACGACGACGAGCCGCGTGATTTCCTTGCTGGAGTTCGCGCTCTACGGCCAGGTCTGGTGCTACATCCTCCTCGAGACGAAGCGGCTCTGCAGGGGCGGCCTCCGGGCCTACTGCTCGTCGGTCTGGAACGTCATGACGGCCGTGAACCTTTCTATTTTCGTCGCGGTCATGAGCCTGCGCTATGATAACACGCGGTGGGTGTCCGCCAAGGGCGGGTCGTCCATCGTCGACTACGACGCCTTCCCGGGCGACCTCGCGCAGCAGATCGTCTGGTACAAGTTCATCGACGAGCTCAACTCCTTCAACTCCATCATGTCCTACTTCCGGCTTTTTAAATATTTGCGCTCCCACCCGGGCCTCGCGCAGCTGTCGGACACGATCTCGCGGAGCTCCATCGAGATGGGGCCCATCTGCATCATCTTGGGCGTCGTCACGATCGCGTTCGCCGCGGCGTTCCAGCTCGCCTTCGGGTCGGAGCTCTTCGAATATTCGGACTTCCCCACGGCGATGCGGAGCATGTTCCGGGCCCTGCTCGGCGACTTCGACATCACGACGCTCATCGGCCCGGGCCGGGCGACGACGAACGCGCTCTCGGGGCCGTTCCTCTGCGTCATGTTCATCGTCGTCACGGCCTTCGTGGTGCTGTCCATGCTCCTGTCGATCATCGACCACGCCTACGAGGACGTGCGCGACGAGCTCATCGAGAAGGCGGGCACGGACAAGGTCGCGCAGGAGTTCAACGAGGACTTCCGCTACTTCGTGAACTTCCCCTTCATGCTCGCGGACCGGCTCGTGCACCGGTTCATCGAGAAGTCCGCGGGCGGCAAGGTCGACTTCGACAAGATCAAGAGCCGGGAGAAGGTCGACCCGGCCATGCTCATGGTGCTCCAGTTCGAGAAGATGACGACGGGCACCGCGGGCGACATCGACGACGACGCCGGCGCCGAGGACCGCGCCGCGGAGCTCGCCGAGGACCGGAAGCGCGAGCGGCGCGCGCGCCTGCTCCACGCGAAAGCGACGCTGACGTCGGCGCTCGCGGCGCTCGCCGAGATGCGCGCGGCCCAGGACGCGGTCGCGAAGCACCTCGGCGCGCCGGACGTCGCGTCCATTGCGAAGGATCGCCGGGGCAGCTCGGAGAGCGAGGGGCAGGGGTAAGTTTTTTTTTTTTCGAGACGCGTCGACGTGTACTTTATTGGCTCGCTGTCGACTCGTGTACATGTTGTTGCGACTTCGTCGCCCACGCCGTACAAGTCCACTTACAAGTCCGACGGGTTGCTTTATTTACAGACTTCAATTTGACTTTCAACCTGTGCGGTTTAAGAAATCAGAGGGAGCCCCGGGCCGAGACGATGGTCTCCGAGGAACGGGCCTTTCTCGGCGAAGCGCAGGCGTGGTGCCGAAATGGCGGCGACATCGATGCTCTCGTTCCTCCTCAGTCCGACACTATTACTCCATTGACGCGCCTGTGTCTCGCAGTTTTCCGTGGGTACTGTTCGGCCCTTCGATGACTCCTGGACCACGGCGCGCGCATGGAAGCGTGTTCATTGCCGCTGCACATCGCCGCCCATAACAACCGGTGCGACGCAGCGGTCCTCCTGCTGGACGCCGGCGCTCACGTCGATGAGCGCAATCGCTCTCCGCGTGGCGGGAGCCATACCGCGCTCCATCGAGCTGCCGCCGGCAGCCCGTACGCCGTCAAAATGTGCAAGCTCCTCCTCAGCCGCGGCGCGTCGCTCGACGCGCGTAATGACGACGGCCAAGATCCCGAGGCCTTCGCGCGATACCATGGCCAAGATCATGAGGCCAGAGTGCGCGCCGGCCGCCAGCTGAACAATGCCGCGTTCCTCGCCGACGTCCGCGCGGCGGGCGGCTGGTCCGCGTACGTGGCCGCGCCGCGAAACCAGCTCCTCGCCCTCCGCCGCGAGCTGCCGGCGCGGCGCCGCACCGGCCCGTGCCGCGCGCGCGCGCAAGCCCGGCTCTTCCTCGACGCCAAAATGCCCGACGACGTCTTCATGCACGTGCTCACGTTCTGGCGCAGCGCGCGCGACTCCGCGTACTAACTAGGCGATCCGGTCGAAGCCGCCCTTGCCGCCCAGCACCCGCCGCAAAGTCCAGCATGCCCGCGTAGAGGAAGTCGCCGTACGTATACGGACTCCGACGGCATCGTCGATTTGCAGTCGACGTTGAGCCGACACAAAAGCCGCGGCCGATGTTTTGAAAAACTGAGAGGTCGTCGAGTCTGTTGCTCACGTGCTGAACCGCTCGGAAGCACCGCTAAACCAAGCGCAGCGACGATGCGGGGCGGTGCCATCCCCTTCGTCGACACCTTCGAGGAGGGCGATGAGAACTTGATGTACGACGACGTCGGCGCCGCGCCGACGAAGAGCGCCAAGGCCGCGGACGCGGCGCCCCTCGACGGCGGCGGCGCCGACGCCGGCGGCGCGCTGCCCGACTTCGACGCCAAGCCCGCTAAGGGCGGCAAGGACGACGTGCTCGGCCTCAAGGCGCGCGCGCCGCGGCCCAAGTTCACGGAGAACCACCTCATGAAGGCCGAGGGCCTCGAGTGGCTCGTCAAGCACATGCCGAAGCGCGCCAAGTGCCGGCACCGCGACGCCGCGGAGGACGCGGCGCGCCTCGTCGAGGGCTACCGCCAGTGGGCCGCGGGCCTCTTCCCGAAGCTGCCGCTCGACGACATGCTCCAGCGCATCGAGACCATGGGCAAGAAGGCGCTCGTGCGCAACGTCGTCGAGGACATGCGCCAGAACCAGCGCTACGAGAACTGGCGCAAGCGGCGCCGCGCCGAGGGCCACGACGACGACGAGGACCTCGCGCCCGCCGGCGCGCGCAAGCCCGCCGAGGGGTCCATGGCGAACGCGCTCGCGGAGAAGAAGGCCGCGGCGCTGGCCCTGCGCGAGGCCAAGGCGCGGGAGAAGCGCGCCGCGGCCGGCGACGAGGACGACGTCGACGAGGAGGCGGCCTTCGAGGCCGCGCTCGAGGAGGCGGCGGCCGCGGCCGAGGCCGCGGCGCTCGAGGCCGACGCCGAGGCGGAGGCGGCCATGGCCGAGGCGGAGATGGACGAGGAGGACGACTTCGAGCGCGCGCCCGCGGCGCCGCCCGCGGCCAAGGCCAAGGCGGTCGAGGCCGCGCCGGCGCCGGTCGAGGCCAAGGCCGCCGAGGAGGACTCCGAGGAGGAGTTCGACTTCGAGGATGCGCCCGCGGCGGAGCCGGCGGCGGCCGAGGAGGCGGCCGTCGAGGAGGCGGCGGTCGAGGAGGCCGCCGTCGAGGAGGCCGACGAAGAGATGGCCGCGCCGGCCGCCGAGGAGATGGCCGCGCCGGCCGCCGAGGAGGCCGCGCCCGCCGAGGAGGCCGCGCCCGCCGAGACGCCGCTCGAGGAGGCCGCGCCCGCGGAGACGCCGCTCGAGGAGGCCGCGCCGGCCGCGCCGGCCGCCGCGCCCGCCGAGGCGCCGCCCGCGGAGACGCCGCTCGACGGCCTCGACGACGACTCCCAGCCCCTCGTCTTCAACGCGGCGCCGGACACGGAGCCGTCGCAGCCCATGGAGGAGGAGTGAGCCGGCTCGCGTAAGGAAAGATTAGCCGCGCCGCTAGAGCTCGAAGAGCGAGCCCGTGACGATGCCGTGGTCCGCGATGATGTCCTTGGCCGGCGCGTCCTTCCGGAGCGAGAGGCGCTGGCTGAGGCGCTTCTTCGGCTTGGCCTCGGGCTCCTCCGGCGGCGCGCCGGCGTCGATGGACGGCGCCGGGGACCGCGGCGGCGGCTCGGGCGGCCCGGAGTTGCGGCGCGGCGGCGGCGGCGGCGGCGGCGGCGGCGGCGGCTTCGGCGGCGGCGGCTGCGGCGGCGCCGAGTGGCGGCGCGGCGGCGGCGGCGGCGGTTTCCCCGGGAGCTGCCAGGTCGGCTCCGCGTCGCCGTCGACGGCGTCGAGGGAGAGCGTCGGGCCGGAGGACGACTCGGCCTGCAGCTCCCGCTCCGGCGCGGACGCCTCCTCCGGCTCCGGCGCGGGCGCGGCCTCCGGCTCCGGCGCGGGCGCGGCCTCCGGCTCCGGCGCGGGCTCCGGCTCCGCCGCGTCCGGCTCGTCGTCGCTGAGGGGCGGGAGGTCGTCGTCGTCGTCGTCGATCTGGCAGGCGCCGCCGCCGACGACGAGCGCGTCCCGGAGCGACAGGTGCCGGAGCTTGACGATCGTCACGAGCCCGTCGCTCAGGCACCGCGCGTCCGCCAGACCGTTCGCGTAGGACGCCAGGACGACGACCTCCTCGCGCACGGCGACGCCGTCGCGGTCGAACTCGACGACGTAGACCGGCGCGTCGTCGCCGTCGGCCGCCGGCGCGGGCGCGGGCGGCGACGCCGGCGGCGACGCGGCGCGGCGAGCGAGGCCCGCGCCCTCGCTCTCGAGCTCGGCCTCGCGGCCCGCGACGATCTCCGACGGCGACCGCCGCGGCGGCGGCGGCGGCCGCCAGCCCGCGGGCCGGCCGGGCGACCCCGCGGGCGGCGGCGGCGGCGGCGGCGGCGGCGCGTCCGGGGCCCGCGCGGGCGGATCCGGCGGCGGCGGCGGCGCGGAGAGCCGCGGCGACTCGAGGTCGCGGCCCGGCGACGGCGGCGGCGGCGGCGGCGGCGGCGGCGCGGCGCTCGGCGGCGCGGGGCGGTCCGGCGACCCGGAGGCCGGTGGGTCGACGGTCGCCCACGCGATCTCCGAGCCCCCGGACGCGCGCTCGAGGTCGTCGCCGGGCTCCGGCGCCTCCGCGCCGTCCCCGCCCGGGAGGCCGACGAGCTTCCGCGGCGCGCCGACGGCGCCCCCGCTCATGGCGCGCTTGATGCGCTGCGCCTCGTCGCGCGTCAGCGTCTTCTTGTTCAGCAGCTCCGCGAGCTGGTCGCCGTCGCCCTTCTGCGGCTCCGGCGCGTCCTTCTTCTTCGACGTTCCGACGAGCTTCTTGCTCATCTTCCGCATGGCCTTCATGGCCGCACGCGCGACGGCGCCGCTCGGATCCTCGAGGAAATTTTACTCGGGACCACCCTCTCGACCCGAGATTGCCTGGAAAATAGGCGCGCTTCAAGTTCTGTAAGTACTTTTCTTGAAGCGTTTCGTCCTTCCTTCGACATGAGCACGACGCCTCGAGGCCGGCCGTCGAGCCGCGGCGGCACGCCGCCGGGCCGGCAGAGCATGCGCGCCGCGCCGCCCGGCACGCGCGCCGCGCCGGCGCCGCCGACGGCCGCCGCCAAGGCCCAGGCCGAGAAGGCGGCGGAGGAGACCGCCAAGGCCGCGGCCAACGCCACCGGCGCGTCGGAGCACCGCGTCACGCGGACGTCGATCCAGGGCGTCAGCAAGGGCCCGCCGGGCGCCGCGCGCGGCTCGTCGACGCGGAGCTCGTTCCGCATGGCGGGCCTCGGGCCCGGCGGCGGCGGCGCGCGGAGCCGCGAGCACCGCGCGTCGATCCAGCCCGGCGGCGCGGAGCCGGGCAAGGACCCCGACGAGCCCGTCGTGCAGATCCGGGAGGGCCGCGTGTCCTTCACGACGCGCGGCGGCGGCGGCGGGCCGCCGCCGCCGCCGAGCGCGCCCGAGGCGCCCGGGGAGCCGGCCGAGCGCCAGCAGCGCCACTCGTCCATGCTGCGGCGCGTCGTCCACCAGAAGGTGAGCCGCGAGTCGGGCGTCTTCGCGAACCGCGGGAGCCTCGCGCGGCAGCGCGCGGCGACGCAGCGGCGGGACGAGGGCCGGCTCCGGCTCAAGCTCGTGGACACGGCGGACCCCTCGATCCCCGTCGTCGACAAGGAGCTCACCTACGGCCTCGACGACATGCACACCTGGTGGAAGGTGCTCAAGTCCGCGACGGCGGCCTTCGCGCCCTGCCCCGACGGCCTCGAGCAGGGCGGGACAAGAGAGCGAAATTCCCAACTTCAAAGGCTCCGATCTCGGCCGTTTTCCACTCGTTTCGGCTAATTCTTGGACGAGCGATCATCTCTCGGAACGGTCTCGAAGCGTGGATGCTTTTTCCGGAACGCGCGCGCGCGGAACACACACGTTGAAGCGACGTTGAATCACCCTTGTGCTGCCCAGGCCTCGAGCTCTACCAGCCGCTCGTCGGCGCGGACCCGGGCACCTGGCTCAAGCTGCTCAACGACGAGATCGCCTGGGACACGCTCGAGGTCG